TTTTTTTTTCTCTCACAGCTCCAAGAATTTGACGACCACAAATGGCTTTAGTTGCGTCCTGTATTTTGTGTAGCTCTTTCAGTCATGACTGCCATTAGGGCGTTTAGTGGACGTGTGAGCTTTCATGATTTGATTTCGCTGTACGGGAGTGTTTGTGTTCATAGATTGTTTCATATGTTAACATTAAGTCAGTGTACATGCTAAAGGTGTGTGGGCGGTCACTTTAGACCATTGCTTAGTTCCAATTGGTGCAATGGGTATCGTGGGTAGGTTATTAACCAATTAGAACGGCGCAATGGTCTCGATTAACCCGCCCACATGCCGTTTAACGTGCCCACCGCCTTTTTAGATTAGATTTCACTAAAGTTGTCTTAGTTTTCAATGCTGGTTGTCCTCTTTCATCACCCTGACCTGCTCAAAACTCACAGCAATCTATTTACCGTTGATCATACGCAGAACTTCTTTTTTTGCATTTCTTTGCTGCACACAGCTTTTTCTGTCCTCTTCTACGACCCTTCCCTACAATATTATGGTCATTGCTGACCGGCCCAATTATGAGAAACAACAGGACTTCCGGATGTATTTTATTTTTTCTTTAAATAAATATATAAATTGATTGTCGAGGTATTTCAACGCGTACAGGACAGACCGGTTTTACCGGTAGCGGATATTGGGTTATCGTAACCTTATGGAAAAAACCGACGAGGCTGACCCTGCAAGGAGAAATAGGCGCATATGTAGCACAGTGGAAGGGGATCTCAGATGGGCACTTGGAGACCAATGGATAAGAATGTGCAGTGTCTTGGCCAGGTATTCAAGCCAGGACCTGCAGCAACAGTTACCGTGTCACGGACTTCAAAATCTGGCTAGTTTAATACAACAGGTAAGACGGAGATCCTCGACATATTGTATTTGTTGCCTAGCAAGAGTAATCCGTTCTGTGGGTAAGCGAACCAATGGCTACAGGCGCAACCGTAAATGAGGAACTGTTCAAGGTGATGGGTTTTATTCTCCTGAGCAAATTCATCGAAAGAGCTCGAATCTAGCTCAAGAAGCTCAGAATTTGGTTCATTGAGTGGCTGTCGCCTCTGCTAAGTAATGACAGCCTAAGTGTCAAGAAATTCTTCAAAAAAATGCCTAAAGAACACTTTATTTTGTGTTATTCACGTTTAGGCTTAACAGCAATGAAGATATGTATAGAAACTAATATGAGATGTATCGGAGTAGCAGCAAGTACGATAACGGAGCCCGTATCAAAGTCATTGTCGAATGCCATAATAGTGATGTTGGCACATAATAGACAGGCTCGTGCTATATGCGCTTCGCATATCTGAAATCTGAAAACTAAACAGATAGTACAATTTTTGACGTCATTTCGTTCATGCATTCAGCATCCGACCATAAACAGCAGGTTATGTGGCACGCCCGCCTGTCTGGTACGAGATTTGTACCCTTGCTCCAAGGACAGGAATAGAGACTAGTAAGGGTTGCCCANCAACCGGTTACGGGAGTTGTCCCTTCGAATGCTCCTCAGATTACTGTACTTTTATACAGTGCCTGCTGGGTAACCCATACGAGACTTATCAACCTTTTCTAGTATGTTCGTTATGTGAGGTGATATAAAACAAACAGATTCTGGGAGCTAGAAAGTGGTAATAGTTGATAAAGGACGATTATGCAGTCCCGTAGGGTAGGGATTATCAGATTGCTGTCGCCTTTCAGAAACTAACTGGGTAGGATCCAACTTACCGAGTATCTCCACGAGTAAGGTACAAAAAATCTTGTCTCCCATTTACTATCTTCTCTTCGTACTTGTATTCGGAAGAACTGGAATGTAGAGAAGGAATGCTTAGCGGCCTTATAACCACCTAAGGTCATAATGTTCCAACTGACCTCTACACTAAGGCATGCTAGTATAAGCAAAAATATAACGAGCATGTTGACAATGGCAAGAAAAAGCGGTAGCATAGGATTGTCAGCGGCAGTAGACCAAACCATTATACAAACGACAGACCAGATCTTAATAAATAACCATTTCTAATGAG